AGCCCACTGCTCCTTAATTTCATGGAATGCCGGCAAAGCATCCATTTCCTCCGGGGGAATCTGATCTGTGTAGTCTGGAGAGGAGCTGTAATTCCGGGGGATCCCCAGGTCCCACCTGGAGAATGACATCCCTAAGCGTCAGACTAGGTTCAAATCCCTGCTATCCCATGGACCTTGGGCCAGTCACATGCACTCTGCCTAACCCACCTCGCAGGGTTGTTGTGAGGATAAAGTGGAGGAGAGGAGAACGATGTACACCCCTTTAGGGGAGAAAAGCGGAATATGAGTAAAATTAAAGAAAGGCACGTATGACCTGGAAGGAGGTAGCGCTTCAGGAACTACAGTTCCCAGCATGCCTTGCGGCGCGTCTTGCCCAATGGGAGCAGAGCGGGCAGTCCCTGCAACTCTTCGTGTCGCTTGCGGGCGAGAACTTCGGAGCCCCTCGCCTTTTTTGCAACCCGGGTGAGTTGCTCGTCGGAACGGGCTGTCCCCCCCGGTACTCGAGGAGTTTGCTTAGGCGCCTGCAGCTACATGGGGTGGGAAGTGAACCGGTAGGTGGGAGTTATGTAACTCTTCCTCCTGTTGTATTTTTGGGGATTTGTAAGTCAAATCTGCAGCGTGGGGATATTTGCATCTTGCATAACAGCGCTTGCTTTAGGATTCCGTTCCAGTATGGATGGCGGAGTTCAGGCTTTCAAAGAAAGCCCTGGTAAAGAGGATCTCTGAGCATGTACAGAGCGCCTGCAGAATGGGAACTCTGGGTACCCACTTCTGCCCCGTTCCTACCCTAAACCCTTGAGGAATGAGGCTGAATGGATTTTGAAACGGGGAACTGTACCCCTTCACTCTTCCCTTCCCTTTCCTCCTTAGCAGATGTTTATATTAATGCCATCTTTTAGTTGTATAGGACTGTATTTTATCGATTTTATTATATTTACTATAATTAATTGTTAGTATTTATTGCAATCAGGGATTTTCTTTTTTGGGAAAAATAGGTGCCAGAAACTCTCAAGAGGGCAATGAAGTTTTCAGTCTGTTTATACTGAAAACTCACGAACTTTTAAACATTTTTAAAAGAATTTTGTCGAAGAGGTTCCGGAACGCCATTCCGGCGCGTTCCCCCAGGAAAAAAGCCCTGTAAATGTTTAGAATGTTTTAAATTGTATGTCTTATAAATTGCTGTCGTGCGCTCTGAGCAGGGTTCAGGGAGAGCAGGTTATAAATTGACTAAAATAACTGAGAATGTCTCCTCACTCATGTAAATAAGAGCTCTGAGACATGCCCAGGCAGCTCACTCTGCCGAAAGGTACATAACGGAAATGGATATAAAAAGAATCTAGAAGGTCGGTATGATTCTTAAATAATTTAAATGAAGAATTTCTGTAACATGTAGTGGACGTTACCACTGCTCCCTCTGAGCTGCGAAGTCCTGTGAGCAAAAATTCTACTTTGTGAGCTCCTGGCATTAAAAGTTGTGAGCGAGGGATTTGGCTGCTGCATAAATCAGTTTGCTCTGCAGCCCTCCTCCCTCAGCTAAGACAAAAAATGTGTGAGCTGGAGGCTAAAAAAACTGTGAGCCAGCTCACACTAATTCAGCTTAGAGGGAACACTGGGCGTTACTGCTAGTTCAGTTGTCTTAATAGAAACGACTTATTGTGGATTGCACTCTGCACACCCTCTGTGAAAAGGCCCAGTGTTTTTAGCAATATGTTTGAATTGTTGTTGAAATGTATTAAATATACTTTTATATCTTGATTGATTCCCCCCAATGAAGCAGCACGCGGGGCTATACAATCATGAAAGATGCTTTCCTCTGCGCCATTTGTCTTCTCACCCGTCATCCCATCCTAAATCTGACACCTAGCAACCCTGGACTTCCTTGGTGGTCTCCCATCCGAGTACTAACCCAGGCCGATCCCGTTTAGCTTCCAAGATCTGACGAGATCAGGCCACTGTGTGACACAGAGTATTGGACTGGATGGGCCTTTGGCCTGATCCAACATTGGCGTCTCTTCTGTTCTTATGTTATTAACCAGGTTTGATTCCCCACTCTTCCACAGGCAGCTGCTGGTGTGACCGTGGGTCAGTTACAAGTTCTTTCAGAGCTGTTCTCTCAGGTGCA